ACAATGTTGCTACCCAGTGGTTTATACCAAATTATTCCCATTACTCAGCATTGTAACAGCACTGCTGCTATTAGTGTAATCCCGACATTATGTAGACAGAGCAAAAACAACCTCATCTCTCCTGGGACCTCATAATTCAGTCAGATATTACTTTGACACGTCAATATCATAGCCGAGTAACAATATCCCAAATACATTTAATGAGGCATCAGTACAGCCCTGATATTCTCATGGGTTTGGGTCTCATTCAGGCTACTCATACTGCAAATATTTGCGCTAAGAGCTCCTTCATGGTGCTTTAGATAAAACCACACACCCAGTGTCTGTTGTGAGATATTAATCACTGTCATCCATAGGCATGATCGTCAATAGGTTTGGCACCTCTGCCTGCATAGAGCGCACGAGTGAATCAACACACATTTGAAAGGGCTCTTCTGTTCCTTTATAGCTAATTGCTGCCTCTTCAACAACCGTCCTCATCCTCTTCAATCCATTAATTCCTGGACAACAGCACTTCTGAGAAGTCGTAAAGTGAGTTAGGCAAAGTCAAAGCACTCATCGCCCCTTTCCATTAAAGCTCCGCGCATCAATACCTGTCCACTCCTGGAATACCATCCGTCCGCCAGCCACAGATCTGCTGCTTTGCCTCCACTATGCAACTGGCTGGGCAGTAACAGGGCTAATAAATGGACAATAGATGTGCATTAAGTTCAGCCATTAACTTTTAACAGATGTATTAGACTGGAGGAGACGCCCGACTTTGTTTTCAAGGTTGTTTAAGGTTGCTTGTCGAGGTGGTTCTTTTTGAATTGAATTATGCATGAGGTAGCGAGCACTTGCTATTGTTCAGTCTTCCTCTATTGCCATAATAAAATGAGGTCGTCTGCACATATATATTTTTATTTTAAAATATACATGCCATATTTGCTTATGAAAATAGATAACACACATATAGGCTGGGGTTTTTTTTCAATAATGTCCTTCAGTTGTAAGATGTTTTTTTATTTTTCCCAAAGAGTGGGTAAATTACCTTGTTGAGGGAGTATTGCTATTGATTCAAGTGGCATAACTGCTGAGTGAATGGCTGGGTGCAGCCCTTGTTGGTTAGTATAAAGCCATTGATTTTATTCTGCTTATATGCTTTGCAGTGCTCTCAATCAAATCAGAAACAGAGAAGATGCTGTTTATAAATCACAAAAGTGTGAGAGAGGGAGGGAGAGAGAGAAATGCATGTATTTGCTGTGTATAGATTTCACACTAATACATTCTTTATCCTTCATCTTTTTCCCCTGAGGGACTGTGGAGTTTCAGATGCTTTCAGGGTTTATGCTTCTCACATCTCCACCTGACAACGGCCAACCAATCATAACACTGACCCAGGTGTTAATCCCCAATTACAAGCCTGTAACCAAACTCATCTTTTCATACTGTGCAGGGTCTTGCAGTGCCATGCAGCGAAGTTCAGGTGGATCTTGAAGTCCGGGCTTTGTGCCTTTTTTTTCTCCCTCTATCATCTGTCACATATGCTTAATATTGACTTTTCAAGTTTTTATTGTTAAAACATTTTTGAATTTTAAGAAAGGCGTTTTCTTTTACTTTTAAATTAGTAATAAATACCCCAAGGGAATAATGTTCCAGTCTTCTCTTGAAAGACCCCACTATGCTGTAAATTGATTTTTTTAAAGGATTTTATTTTATGCTCTGCACTCTGGGGACTGCTGGAGGTCAGTATCGGATTTCAAATTGCATTGTGATGACGTGAGTCATTTACATGAGACATTCCCCTACCCAGTCACAAAGATTAAGGTAATTATGAGATGATTTGGATCCTAATTGGATGCCCTACGATCTAAGAGTAGATCAAGTGAACTTGGCCAGAAATTACCACCCAATTAGAAAAGCCAATATACAGAACCACTGGAAGCATGAGCTCAAGATCCAGTGAAACAGGATAAGTAGAACCATGTGTGATATGGTAACTTCTCTCTATTTAACTTGGGCTCGTTAAGTATATACATGTAGGGTCTTTGTGTTTGACTGGAAAATGATGAATTACCATGGGTCTTGTCACTCGGCCGTCTTTTTTAATGACCTTGTATTTTCATAGATCATATTTTAGGCAGGCATACAGGATATGATAGCTGGCAGCCAGAGGTAAGACTATATGTTTCCACTAGCCATTCGGCTATATCCCGAGTTTATAAAATAAATAGTCAGGTCCAGACTTTTTTTTATACTGTGGTGAAATTAGAGTAGTAAACCTTTCTCAGTCTGGCCAGGTTAGAAGGATGGAGAGAAAGGTTGTGTGTGAGAGAGAAAGAGAGAGGGGGAAACAGTTGCAGCTCAGTAAATAGACAGTTAAGGGTTTGGACAGTCGCTGTTCTCTCTGTCTTCTCTTCACATTGACTCTTCTTTCACCTCCATTCCTCTATTCTCTGCTTTCCTAATCACTCTGCTTTTTTCCACCAAAGTCTATTTTGTATCCATTCGTGCTGCTCTCTGCATTTGCTGAGCTAAAAAAGTGTGTTATTGTTGGAGTCAATGATTCATTTACATTACTAATTTCATTTTTCAACAGTATTGAATAATGTTTTGAGTCAAACCCTGCAGCCTAAAACTAAAAAAATTTGAGATTCAGCTCAGCAACAGGACCTCTCCCAGTAACACTGGACAGTGACACAAGGTTTTAGGCTTAACACTAATGTTGTGTTCTGGTTCGCAATCTTGGTCTGGATCTCCCAGTTCCCCCTAAAACTCACACAGGCTCTGTGCCAGTGTGCTGGGAGTCTGATAAATCCAACCTTCCCAGTGACTTTATCAGTTGACAGCTCCAGACTGAGCACAGTTACTGAGGGACAGTCATCTTTGGTTGGTAGGGAGATGGTTAGTCCTCTTATAGTGTGTGACTGTATGGGTTGGGTTTGCCTTGAGGATCTTTGGAAGCTTCTGGAGATTCGTATAATTCACATTTTCTCACCATTTACCAACAAGGGAATATCTTGGTAACAGGATATATACATCAGTGTGCCAGAGAGGAGTTCAGTGTGGTATGAGCTTTTAGACTCTTGCCTTTTCTCTTAGAAAGGCAAAAAATAATCTTCACTTTTCTTATATGTCACAGTTCTTCTGAGTAAACCTTTAAAGCTTTATGGCTAATTACTGTTTCTGAACATGCTGCTGGTCATGAAGCGTTTGTGATGTATGTAACATTTCCTTTTTATGATTGTTTTATTCATTTACATCATATCTCCTTTGTCTATTTCCCAAAGGGTCAACATGTAGAATAAACAAAATTGACGTTCAGTCCAGAAATGGAGCTGTGGAGCCCTCACTTTTTAGACTTCCAGTGACATCTCCATCTCTCACTTGCCTGCCTGCTAAAGCCAAGCTAGCGTGACTAAAACACTTAGTCACAGTGCACCTCGGCAGCAGCGAGCCAGAGTGCTACTGAGGCTTGGGCCTAGCTAACAGGCTTATGCTATCCTGTCTCTCTCACATCAGTATTTCTCTTTCATTTTACCTAGACCTAACACTACGGACCCGAACAGTCAGCATGGAGGAACACTTTTATATATACAACATTTATATAGTCTGTAGTGTATACATTTGAATACACAAAAGCTTAGAGAAAATATGCAAATAAACATAGTTGCATGTAAAATATAAGATTCCATAATGCATATTCATTGTGCAAAAACACACACAAACACACTCTGGGGTCTTGAGAAAAATGTGTGACAGGGAACTCCCTTTTTCTGGAACATGCACCCTGATTACGTGTGTGTGTGTGTGTGCGCGCATTTGAGTCGAAGCACATGCCCACTCCATGATTACAGCTATATGTTCCCAATGTCACAGATAGTACTTTTGTTTCTCTTGCCGCTCCTCCCTTCCCTCCTCTCTCTCTCTCTCTCTCTCCCTCTCTGGTCTTCCACCCTCCTTCCTCGGTCTCCTCTTTTTTTATAATCTCTCCTTCACAATGTGCCACAAAGACGTTTGATAACAGTGTGTTAACTCGGTGATAGGCGTGTTGTTGCCGTTGCTGAGGGAAGTTGGGTATCTCATCCTGCTCAACATGGGCTCAGCCCTCACACCAGTGCAAGCCTCTGATAATGTCTGGTTGTTGTTCTCATGTGTTTGATATGGTCAGTTATCTGCCGAGCACAATGTGACTGAATGAGGTGAGAATAGGCATGTCATGAAAGAAAATGTTTTGTTTTTGATTAATGTTTTATCTTTGAAAGTTGTTTCCCAGAATATCAAGGGTGAAAGAAAAGTTAAACGTTTGTTTGTGTGTGATTTTGCCATCTTAAATTTGTTCTTTGACTAGTTTAGGACTAGGTTTTCTGCTGTGTCCCAGTCCTGAACAGATGTTAATATAGTATCCAGAGATACAAGTATTAGGGCAGTGTGTGTGTGTGTGT